TGCAAGTTCTCCAATAAAGACATGCAACTGATGGAAGTCTTGGGAAGCATAGTGCAGCCCCATCCCAGGCCCAGTGAAGGTCTCAAAAGCAATGGTGAATTACTCGAGTTGGTGAAGGAGAACATCAATACTCATCCTCTGCAAACAACGAAAAAGAATCGAGGAGGACATTCTTGAGGGAAGATCGCCATTTAGGCAGCTCAACTAGCTGCAACTGGAAGATTCAGTTATACAACTTGTATGAGTTATTAATTCATGCCATGTGAAGCATGATTTTTTTCCCTCTTTTTCTCTTTTTCTAATGACAGACTTGTGTGTACAAGACCACAGACATATCTTATTTCTGCCAATTATTTACCACAAATGCATATTGATTTTTCTCTCCTATGCTTTTTGTGGTCATTGTATTTCTATATTGTGTGATCTATTTATAGTTCGCAGATTGAAATTGCTTTGCTTCAAATTATACGTTTTGATTCAATGAAAAATTTTAATCTTGATATTATCTGTGTTTAATTTAACAAAAAAACAGCTTTGAAAGGTTTATTTATTGAATTTGACAGAAGAAAGTATGGCTTTTTTACCAAATTGCAGCAGAATGCATCAGGCTTTAATTACCATTCTGCATATCCTCTTTTTTTTTGTTATTGTAATACAAGGTCGCAAAATTAGAGTGCTACCATGATGTTTCAGATGTTTCATCCCTCGGAATAATTCTCTCATTTTTTACTCATACTACATAAAGTTACTAAATTACTATAATATGTCGAAAATATAGAAGCATGATACCCTGGAGGTACAATAAGATTTTTCACAAAGCAGGGCTCAACACAAATTAAGTTTCATGTAGAAAGTGCTAATTCAGAAGTTCTGGTGCCATAGAGGAAATCTGGATAGAAGTCTGTCGGGTACAGTAGGAAGTATTTTCTCCTGTGAGTCATTACCAATTGACCAAGTTATCAGGTGCAACTGTATTAGTAAATGAAACAATTGAGTGACACTTAATCTAGTGCATATAAGTTCTAGGAATCAAGAGCTCAATTTCTGTGTTTCCTCACTCAGATTGATGCTAACAGTTTGCGCCATGGTTTTGTCATCAAGGAGAACTCTTAGTTCCTCTTGACCCTACGAGGTGATTCGGACTTCTGAGAAAATTCCAACAATCCCTGCCTCAAAGCTCCAAGGTTTACCCCATTACTGACATATATGCTTGTCACTCCCATCTTTGATACCTGCAAACGTCATATCCAGTTCGAGACACGAATTATTCTTTTTTAGTACAGGAGCTTGAACGTTTTTTATGCTCCACAGAGCATGAGATCACTAGAAAATGGAGTTGAATTGTGAAGCAACTTTACCGCCTGAATATTCCTGTCCTCGTCATCAAAGAAGAGCATTGAATTAAAAGGTATGCCGGTTCTTCTGTGAATCCTCTGGAAATGCTCAGTCTTGTGAGTCCAGCTGGAAAAGATCTCCTGCATGTGACAATAGTTAAACTAGTTAATCTAATGGGAAAAAGAAACAACTCAGCTAAAATTGAAGTAATACTTTTGTGAAAAAAAAATAACCTCACATAATTAGGAAACTCAAATCTCCTCGAAAGTTTTTTAGGGTATGTTTACCTTTTATGTTTATGTTGAAATTTTATAGAATATTTAGTTTAAGCATGAAACATGAAAAAATAAAATTTTAAATAAATGTTAACTAAAACTAAAATAATCTATTTCGATTTGGAAATTTAAGTAGAGCAGAAAACAATATGAGGATGACGACTCTGTGAAGGCTCAACAAAAATGCCTGGGTAAATCTCATATCTCATTCTAGCAAGATCCTGCATGATGTAAGTTTCATGAATTAGGATTCATAAGAGCACTATGGCAAACTACAAAGATTTTCCAAGGATTGTGCGTTGAGGTTTTCCACCAACAAGCCTTGACCAATATTATTAACGTGTAAACAGGGAAGATCTAGGTTGATACTGTCTTTAGTTGCCACAAACTTTCCTGTGTGGAGTATCATAGTGCATGGGACTAGTCAAATTTCTGGCTACAAGTCTTCATGGCATTAATCCAACCAAGTCACTACTGCGGCCATTAACCTCAGGTTGGGTGGTGAAAATGAGTTTTAAAAGAAAAGTTGGTTTCATTTCTCTGGTCCCTATCTTCAAAAACCATGTGAGGTATCCAAAAGAAAATTTTATTTGTTCCAAACATGTAATTAAGTGAAAAAATACTTATCACCTTCAGTTGCAAATACTCTGCAGAAGGTATACTCCTTGAGCATAATCCTTATGCAAAGGTGTGGCTGACACCAAAATTTGATTTTTACAATTTAATGCCATCTCATATGTTAGTGCACTCATTCTGTTATATCTAATATTTTGTTATCTGAGAACACCAGAGATATTGCAATGAGAGAAAGCTCGAATGCACCAGAGTGTAGAGGCAATAAATAAATAAATAAAAGTAGAAAAGGAAGAGGCAGAGAAAACAATTCCTAATTGACTCACCTCAGCTACAAACATTGATTTAATTCCCAAATTTTCAAGAAAAGTTCTTGCTATCTCAGGTGTTGGTGATCGAGAAGCAATAGCTACATCAATCTGCTTTTCCTTCAATGCATATAATATACCTTTAGCTTGTTGATACAAATACGGAGTGCTATCCTCAAAGCAGCACTCACTGGCAAGGAACCAGGAAAGATAATCAGATGCCTTCGCAGTCATAGCCAAAAGGAATTTCCAAAGAAGCCATTACCAAGTAGGTAAATGACAGATTACAGATAGATATGCTTTCTCACTGATCCTTTATGAAAACCAGCTTCTCAGTAATAATAAGTACAGAAAACTAAAATGGCAGATTACTACAAATCTGTACCTGTATAGTGTTATGTTGAATATGACAATAAATTGAAATAGCTGAAGCCCCAAAAATTCTAAAGACTTGAAAGAATAATAATCTCGAATAATTTATGAGCATTGTGAAAAACAGAAAATTGAAATTACATTACCAGAAAGTGTCTTTTATAGAATAAGAAATCTTACTTTCCTTTTAAAGTTTTTTTGAAAAACCCAAAAGAAATAATAAACTTTCCTTTTCTTAAAGACTTGTACTTTCCTGCAACTCATTCCAATTCAGGCTTAATTCAAAACTTGTTGGACCAGTAACTAAATCACTTTCTCTTCCCCTCATCGTCGTGATTCTGGATTTAAGATTCCAAATTTTCTTTTATATCCCAATGAATTCTCGTTAACCAGTCAGAAAAATGGATAACAAGTTGATAATCACAACAAGATCCATAATGCATACAAACTGGAGCCTGATTAAGTGTACTACCAATCAACAAGCTACAAATATAATCTCCAGAATCCACAAAGTGAAAACAAGGAATTTCATATCGCTTCAAATCCCAAAATGACATTAATCTACTTTCGAAGGGAAGTTTCAGAGTTTCGAACGAAGAATCAGAGTGAAGAAACTAGAAGGTATCATACCAGTAATAAGGCCAGAGTGTGTAATCGAGATCGAAGACGATCAAACGAGGCAGGCTATGGTATTGCCCTATGATTTGCAGAGCCTCGTTTTTCACCTTCTCGTCGTCTTCCATCTCTCTCCTTGCAAATGCATAGCCTTGGTTGGTTTCTGAACTTCTTTCTTTTTTTGTAGGTTTTTTTTTGTTTAATTTTTAAAAATAAAAAGGGTGTAAAAATAAATTTGTTAATTTAATTTTCGGAAATATGTCTGATAATTAGATGCTAGCGAGCCGCCGTGGAATCTGACGTGGCAGTACACGTGGCAGAATTGGCACCAATAGGAGAAATGAGCGCATGGAATTGATTGAATAGTTCGCGGCACAGGTTAGTACTGCTCATTGTCTCCCTTCTCTATCTGCCTCTCTTTAAAAAAATCAGTCCCAAAAACTGCGAGGAAGCTCTGAAGCCTGAAAGTCAGAAATTCTCCATCTTCGTCTTCATTTTTCGTTGTTGAGGTAATATCTTCCGTTGCTTTTAATGCATCGTTAATGTTATTTAATTTGATTCCCGTTTTCCGCTTAGAGCTTTCTCAATCTCTGGCGTAATTTTCGTTTCAGTTCCTGTTTTTTCTGGTTTAATTTCAGAGTTTGGTGATTTCTCCTTACAACTTTTCCTAGTTGTAATTTTTGGTTTTTCTGTTATCGAAATTTCGAGCTGATAGAATTGAATTACTTACTTTCCTATAATCTTAGGGTTTCACTTTTTAGAAAAGAACAAAGTCGGATATTTGTGTATGTTTAACTGTATGATTTGGTCCGTTTACGTGGTGCAACTGAGATTAAATGTTATACGACGGCCATAAAGAACATAGCACTACTAAGTTTAGTTCAGGTTCTGATTACTAAGGGCTTGATACCATAATAGATTTCCAAGGGATTACGTAATCCATAAGTGGAGAAGAAAGAGTGAATTTTGATATTGTAAATGGAAATGGGTAATCAGAGCTGTTTGGATAAGACCTTGCCGAAATCTGGTGTGTCTCTGCTCTTGGATTCTTTCCAGTTGGCAAGGTCTTTTGGGTTTCCCTGCTTTTTCTGGAAAAATATCACATTGATTGATTTTCTTGGTCTTGAATTAGTTATGTAGTTCTTATTTATCTTGTCAACTAGTGTAATTAGTATAATTTTCTGTTGTTGTTTATGTTTTTTGCTTTTTGGTAGCAGCTAAATTGCTTCATTTTTAGGGTCGTTGAGTTGTGATGTAGTTGAAACTTTCTTGTTTTGTTTTCTAATATATATTTTGGCTTATAGCTTACCTGGAGCTATAAAGCGTTATGATTGTATGCTACTAGTGCGGTTGTCTGGTGAATCATTTCCCGTTGAACAATGTCTCTTACTGGTTCATTGCAACTGTCTCATGAATTGGGACTTTGCAGGAACCAGAGGTGCAAACAACAATTAAAGGTGCAAGCTTACTTCCAATTTCTTTGAATTTGCTGTACCATTTCATAATTTTCCTTTTCACAAATCTCATTGATATTCTTGAACTCAATTGTCTCCCAGAATGTTATGGTAAGAGGCAAGTTGCACTTATTGAGTGCCACCCTTTCATCGCGTGTTTCGGTATGATCTTTACCCTTTTATTTTTGTGTACAGGCTGGCAGTGCACTCAGGAACACATTTATTCTGTACTAGTTTCTATAACATTCTTTGTCTGTCATGATATTCATGAAGGATTGGAAGATCAGCTCATCTTATGTGCATTTATGTTTGGACATTACCATTGCATCCAGATGTGATAATTTCCGACCAGAGCTTCTGACTATGATTTTTCAGCTTCTTGTTGGTTTCTTCTTAAATTCTTAGATGTTGGTGCATTTTTTTTTTAATTTCTGAAATAAAATATGATATACTCTTGTTGTTTATCTGTGAGTTACATGTTTGTGTTCCATCCCTTTACTTCTATTTGTTTTGTTTTTGCATTATATTCATTGTTGATTTTATGTTAAAAAAAAAACAAAATTTCCTTGTTATTGTACTTTGTTAGAGTGATTCGTTTCTATGCTTTAAAAGACAAATCTTATGGTGTCTTGACTTGTTATCTAATAATTGAAATAATGTCCATGCTCTTTCTCGAAGTGAATATTGGTAGTAAAACTTGAATGATGATTGGAGTATCTTTCGTCCTTTAGTTTTACCACCAGGATTCTTGGAGTCTATATCTGTCTGGCTATTTGAACAGACCAGTAAATCTTAGACCACACAGAAGCAACTATGCCTTGAGACGATCTTCTTTTACGTTAGCTGCCAAAGCATTTGAACTTCCTGCTGTGAAAGCTGCTTCCGTGGCACTGACAAGGTAAATTTCTTAGGCTTCATAAACTCACTGCAGTGTCATAGACTTCACTTTTTATATAGAAAAAAAAAAAACATCACAAAGAGAAGAAAAAACCATACACAATTGTAAATTTTTTTTTAATTCTTATTTATGTTTAATCTGCAATTATGACTGAAAGTTACCAGAATGATATTATTTGACCTCATGGTATGTGCTACCATGTTCCTTGATATGGTGAATTGTGGCCACTGAATAAGCTTCTTTGAAGATAAATTGTGTCAGTAGGTTGTTTTATCTTCAACTGATGACAGATATGCCGAATTTACTTGTATGCTTGTAGTTTAAAAAAATATATGTTTTTTTATATTTTACAAATGCCAGGTGTTATTCATGCATGCAGGTCATGTAATGTTTTACAAGGTTCCCCTCTCATTCTTAAGTTGGTTCCAGCTGTTGGAATTCTTATTTTTGCAGTATGGGGTCTAGCACCAGTTGTGCGTCAGACCAGGACTCTGCTACTCAATGTATGTGCTCTCTTTTTAAGTTAAAAATAAATTGTTGTTTATTGCAGTAAAAGCATTATCTATAATCTAAATCGTCCTGCAGAAGAATGACAACAATTGGAAAAAGAGTAGCACATACTATGTTATGACATCTTATATTCAACCTATCCTGCTCTGGACTGGAGCATTACTTATTTGCAGGTATCTTTATCATGGTGTTGTCAAATTGCAAAAGATGTAACTATCCTGATCCAATTCTATTTTGAGCGGTCCTATTGGTATAATACACCAGCATGATTTTCTTTGTAGAGCACTGGATCCTGTTGTCCTTCCTACAGAAGCTAGCCAGATTGTGAAACAACGTCTTTTGAATTTTGTAAGATCATTATCAACTGTGCTGGCGTTTGCTTATTGTTTATCAAGGTAAGTCTGCAGTCTTCCTCAAACTGCTCAATAAGGCCATTGCTTGAGCTTTAACAGGACAAGATCCCCATCCATTGATCCTTGTGAATATATTTTATTTCTGATTAAGAAAAAAAAATGCTATTGATTGACTGGTAGGGCCAAATGACCTTATTATGCTCGAGCACTTTGCAGACCCCAACTAGCTTTAGAAGAGCTCAACTTCATGCCAATTTCCTCTTTCTTAACATTTAAGATATTTTTCATTTTTTCCTCTGAAAAAAGATGTTTCCGCTAACCCAAAACATGTATAAATCCTTTGTGCAGTGTCATTCAGCAAGCACAGAAATTCTTCACGGAGACAAGTGATCCAAGTGAGGCAAGAAATGTATGTGCTAAAACTAGAACATTCTGAAATTACTTTGTTTTTCAGTTTTCGATTTATATTTGCACTTATCAGTATCCAAATGAAGAGAATTATGAAAAGGAAAAAAAAAGGTAGTTTCAGTAATTTGAGTTGAGCACTGTCTGTTCTTTTGGTTACTGGTCCATCCTGTCTGTGCATCTGCCATTCCTTCGTGTCTTTCGCCTTTGCATATAGTCATTCAACTGAAATGCTACAAAAGTAGCTGTAGGTATTGGTTTATTTTCTATGCACATGCAAGATATGGGTTGTATCATCTTTGCTACATTTGCATTTTGCAGTTTTTTTATTATGCATTAAAACAGACTACCATTCTTTCAATCATCTCAAAATTTCTTTCATACAAGGTTCAGGTGCATGCGAACTGTCAAGTATGACACTTCATATTCTGTTTTGCAACTATGAGGCCATGATTAGATGTAAGATATTTAGAAGCAACATGGTTTTGTTTTCATGGTCATCCACTCTATGTTTCCTCTTTTCTGGAGGATAGCTTATCCTCTTCTCCGTTGTATTTTCCATTTTTCTTCATATATATATATATATATATATTTTTTTATAAAAGAAATTATCTGATGAACTATCCATTGTCTGCACTTCTATTAGAGAGACGCTCACCTATCATTCTTGTTTTATCTTTTTCTTTTTGTGGTTAGCAAAATTGTGAATTTATCATGTTCATTGCATTTTTATTTTCTCTTTTTACCATTTTCTGGTCAGATGGGCTTCCAATTTGCAGGTAGAGCTGTCTACTCGGCAGTATGGGTTGCTGCTGTTTCACTATTCATGGAGTTATTAGGTTTCTCCACCCAGAAGTGGCTAACTGCTGGAGGTCTTGGAACTGTATTGCTTACTCTTGCTGGCCGTGAGGTGTGATGGATTATGTTAACAACTTAATTCATTTCGAATTTTAGTTCCTATGGGCCTTATATTGGTGGAATCATGTTTACATGGAGTATAGAAATTACCTTATTTTTCCCCTTAGCATTCAGAAAAATATAGCTGGCATCACGTTTACATGGCCTATGTGAATTACCTTAATTTTTCCCTTTGGATAAAATATTTCATGCCTAACTTCTTTGAAGATTATATATATGTTCTTTTTTCCCACAAAGCTTGTGTTGTTTCAGATATTCACAAACTTCCTTTCAAGTATAATGATCCATGCAACTCGGCCTTTCGTTTTGAATGAATGGATTCAAACTAAGATTGAAGGCTATGAGGTTTCTGGTACTGTGGAGGTTAGTATTTGAGAATGTTCCTCTTAGGGAAAGGGAAAGAAAGATACACCTGGCTATGCTTTCTGGGTTATTCTTTTAAATGAATATCACTTAGGTTTAATATTGTTTAATTGACTTTTCTGTTACATCAAAAATAGCAAGATAATTCATTGGAGGACTTTCTAATTAGAGAGTTGCTATTTCTTATCATGTACAGCACGTCGGTTGGTGGTCACCAACAATCATACGAGGTGAAGATCGTGAAGCAGTTCACATTCCAAACCACAAGTTCACTGTAAATGTTGTTAGAAATCTCAGTCAAAAAACCCATTGGCGCATTAAAACCCACCTGGCCATTAGTCACTTGGATGTTAATAAAATCAATGTGAGTTACATAGCCTGTTTGTTCTTCATTAGTTGCGCTTGGATTTCGTATAGTGGAACTAAGTTATTTTATACCTCCTCCATACAGAATATTGTTGCTGACATGCGGAAGGTATTGGCCAAGAATCCACAAGTTGAGCAACAGAAGTTGCATAGGAGAGTATTCTTGGAGAACATAAATCCTGAAAATCAGGCTCTTCTGGTTAGAACTTAATCTCTTTAAGCAATCGTTGTCTTCATCTTGAGTTATTGATCATTTCATATATATAACAAATTGGGTAGGTTGAGTTTAAGAAAAATTTGAGCGTCAACTCCATTAGGGTAGTGAGTAAGAAAAACGAACTTAAGAAGTCTTTTATCCCTCAGCGGTTCCCTAAAAGAAATTGTAGGGTCCTTGGTAGTGGGGTTTTGTGGTGAAGGATCTCAAATCCACCCTAGTTCATTTTTGTTGCATCTAGTCTTGCAAGTGCAGGTCGTAAGTCCTTAAATTTATAGTGTAGAGTATATGTCCAGCTGTCTATTTATTAAATGACACATTCTTGGAAGAACTGCTTTGCCATACTGCTTTTTTTGCCCTTCATTTACACGCCTGCTCAGTATTGTCTTTTTTCATTAATATACAATATAACTGATAAGAAGCTTCTTGTTCTTGGGATGGAAAAGAGCCTAAGGTCTGCCAAGTTCACTGCATGAATATATTACAATGTATAATATGCCAAAGTTAGAAAGAGAGAGTATGTCTCTATAATGTACAATGAGGCAGTAGGGCTGTTGATCTCCTAGATATTTGGATTTACTCAATAAATAATTGTTAGAATACTTGCAAATTAGGATGAATGCTTATGGATATGTTTTATTAGGTTTACACTTTTGATGTCCTAATTGTTATATATGTATGTTGCAGATATTGATCTCCTGTTTTGTGAAGACCTCACATTTTGAGGAATATCTATGTGTCAAGGTGAGAAAATTTCTTCCAGTAACTCCTACGACAAAGAATTTAATTTGTCTCTTTAAAATGTTATTTGTATATATGAGCATACTTGGACAAGAACGATAATGCAATTCATTCTTATCTTTTAATTTGTTACAGAAAATTGAGTTCTGAATTGTCTTATATCTGGTCTCTTTCCATAGATTCCCCTTTCTCTGGATGTAGATTCCTTGAGAGGATTACGTGTGGTAAAACATCCAAATGCAACAGTGTATTGTAATTGGTTATTCTCAAGTCCTGTTAACATCTGTATTTTCTTTTAGGTTATGTTCGGACTAAATCTAAAATTTTTGTAGAATCTGTTTATAGAACCACACTTGTTCAATTAGGAAATGATATAAATTCTATTAGAAGATAGGTAAAAGATGACCTTATATGGAACTCCAAGCGGAATTGGCAAGATGTATCAAGTAGAATTGAGGATGCATTTTACCATTTTCACTTTAAATCCCATATGCAGTCGATTTTTTCTTCTAATAGAATTTATATCTTTTCCAAATCGAACTACGAGTGGATTTGCAAATAGATTCTATAATATTTTTTGAATTTATTCCAAACATAATTTCCATCTGATCTACATAAGTGAAACATCTACGTGAAACTTGCTATGTGAGATTTGTTATATGGCCTTTGACTATTGGTACATCCTAAAATCTGTCAGTACAATCGGAAACGAACCTTCCAGACTTACAAGACATGCACAACACATGATAGAAGGTTTATAAATCCCCTTTGCAGCTTGGATTGTCAGGAGTTTCTGTAAAGCATCTGAAGCCTAGCTGAAGGCACTGTCAGAAATCATCTGAATTCATATAAGCTATATACCTTCAGTGAATTACTTTTTAATATATTACATGGGTTTCAAGCTTTTCATTTGGCACCCAAAGTCATTGGCCATAACTGTTCTCTTTCATCATGAGCAAATTTTTTACATTCTACTTTGAAAAGGCCTGCTTATAGTGAGTAACAATGTTATGGTTAAAACAGGAAGCTATATTGCTGGATCTTCTTAGAGTGATCAGCCACCACCGTGCCCGCCTTGCTACACCTATCCGTACAGTGCAAAAGATATACAGTGATGCCGACTTGGAAAATATCCCGTTTGCTGATTCTATCTATAACTCTGGAGGAGTGGCATCTAAACGTCCTTTGTTATTGATAGAACCCCCTTACAGAATAAACGGAGAAGAAAAAGTAAAAGCTCAAAATCGGTCATCACGAACTGGAGAGCAAGATAGCAAGACCACAGGGAGGCCTACACCTGACGCAAAGGCATCAAAGTCTGATTCCAAGTCCAAAGAAACATCAGCAGATGACCCCAAGGCAGAT